ACAGTACATTCATTCTCTGGGAAAAAAAAGCTCGAAGGCACATTAGGAAAGTTTCCATTCACCTGCTCTGCTTTAATAAAAGCAACATGAGAAAGAGGGAGGATATATATAATCCACGGAGCTTTGAAGCTTTGAATTATAGCTAAAGAAAAACTGAAAAGGAAAGAGAAACCCTTCCTTCCTCAAATGAGAAAAAATGTAATTTCAAAAAGTAATGAATGTGTGGGGAATCATTTCTATCACAAAATCTGAAATGAGCCTTCGTTTTGATGAAAATTTTATTAGTCTTTTAAAAGCTCCTGTAAAAATAGTACTGGTGCCTCTCCCATGTTTAAAACTTGGAAAACAATCTGATCAGCAGTAATATGTCTTCTTTGTCGCATAAATGTCACTGGAGCATGAAATTATTCTATTTCTGTGTTTAAAAACATAATGTTTAGAAATAACTTTTCTAGAGTCATTTTTTATAGACAATGGTTTGTAGCCTTTGATACATCCTACGAAAATTATTATAGGTGCAAATTATGATAAATGTCTCACATCACCCAGCTCTGTCATTATTTGGCAAGATTAAATACCAAATCCGCAAAATAATTACAATTTCATAAAATGATTGCAAAGCAAGCAGAACCTCATAATCTTATTTATTTATTTATTTATTTTCGGTACCGGGGATCGAACTGGGGCCCTTGAGCTTGCAAAGCAGGTGGCGGAACCACTGAGCCAAATCCCCGGCCCGAACCTCATAATTTTAATTGGTCTTTATGACTCACAATGACAGCAGGCAGACATTGTAGGATTTCAGGAGGAAAGTTGTGCGATAACATTGAGGGATTAAATGATGCAGGACTCGATGTCACCAATTAATCAACAGGTCTTAATTCATGTATTTTAAAATATGTGTTCAACACAGTAGTGTCTGGACAAAGGCAATATCTTCCTTCAAATAATAGATATTTAACCTAGTTTCTTTGGAAGCAAAGATGACTTACACTTCCTATTCATTCAGTGCAGGTATCCTCCCAATGCACAAGGAAAACAGACAGCATGGGGGCAGTTACTTTCACACGCCTCAGCTGTCTCCTTGGAATGCATTTGTATGTGTGTACTTACCTTTAAAGCAGAAGGAATGTTCTTGCATTGGGCATTTCACCTATTTATATAGATACTATTTTGATCAGAATCTCCGGCTCTCATTTCATGCTTATTGTGTGCCTTTTCTGTGTAAACCAAGTCAGTACTTAAATGAAATAGCTGTCGTTATCTTGTAGTATGTTAACTTGCTACTCTCACCCATTGGAAGAAAGAGCAAAACTCTGACAAGTTAGCAAGCGTCTGAAAACACGCAGTGGACTTGTTTTAGTGCTGTGATAGCCAACGTGGCTCCATATGTGTACAGTGGAGTGAATACGGATAGCCGCCTTTCCCACCCTTCCCCAGCCCTCTGGAGTCCTCTCAGTTAATGCATAACCAACCCCAGCATCCTGTGTGAGTGGACAACTACTTTATCTTTGCTCTCTTGTAAACAGGAGACCCCCCACACCTGTCTGATACTCTTTTAACTAAATTATGCCAAACTGCCCCTGACCCCACCCCCCCACGCCACTGAATTAGCAAAGTTCTGCTCCTGTGGAGTTCTGCTTGTGCTCCCCCGCTCCCTGAGCCCTCCCCCTGAGCCCTCCCCAAACAGAGAGTCCCTAAAAGGACCATGCAAACGGCCTTTCCTTTGTCCAGAGTTTTCAGAGGGGTGATGAGACCACTCTGGACCACTGGCTATGATAATAAGGGATTCCATTTAATTCAGCTTGTGGCATATCTTCGTAGTTCCAACTCACCTGGCCCTATGACAGTGTTAGTTCCCTTCCAACGTCACGTTGCAACTTAACCGTAATTTATTTCTTTATTAAAGATCAGGGAATCGAGAAATCTAGAGTGCCATCCTTTGGATGTTCTTTTATCACCTCAACAGCCTTAAATGCTTGTACTAACACCCAAGTTCACAAAATATAAATCCCTGATTTTAGTCTAACTGATTAGGACACCACAGCTAAACATAGTGAAGCGAGCTGAGCCTGTATCAGTCAGCTTTCCCACCTCGGGACACAACACCCAACACCCATCGCTTAAGTGAGCAGAGATTTAATTTAGCCCTCAGTTTCATACGGTTCGTTCTGTGGTTGGCTATTCTGAGGCCGAAAGAGTAGGGTAGTAGGGCCGGTGGGGAAAGATGCTGTGTCTGAGCTGCGTGCCAATCAATAACTCAGAGCCGGGGTGAAGCACAGCCGTGCACTGCATAGCAGTGATTTTGGAAGGGACAGGCTTCTTCTCCAACGGTGACCCCATCGTATTTTAATAGAGCTGAGGGTTATCATCAGCTAATATTTTTACTGTATGTTTTCAAACTGCTTACATAGGTTTAGAGGCACAGATAACTCATCACTGTGTTGCGGTAGAGTCACCCGCAGTACGGGCCTGTGACCTAGGGCAGTGGGCTATTTCAGGTAACCTGAAGGTGTTCATGGTGTGCAGTACCATGCTGGCTCTGGTGTGTAAGCTGTGCTATTCACACAGTGGTAAGACCGTCTAAGGAGTCATTTCTTAGAACATATTCCTGTCCTCGCGTGGTATATTACCGTATCTGTCACAATGAGATTCACCTAGAAACTCACCCAGGAGTGCCATTTCTACTTTGCCTAAAGTCTTGGCCAAAGGGCCACAAACTTTTAACAAAAAGGCAAAGGAAAAACAGCATGAAAACAAAGCAAAACAAAAGCCACAAAATATATTCATTTTTTTCTTACTAAAAGATTGTTTTTTGTTTCACTTTCCATACCAAAAATACATTCTTGCTATTTGCTTTGCTTGTTCTCATTTTCAGCTCCTGAATTCACACATTCAACGAATGTTTGAGTATAGTCCATACGGCACCTAGTTCTAAGCACTTGAGTTTCATTTCTGAAACCAAGCATATGTTCATTACCTTGACATGATCATGCCACTATGTATACTTATATTAAAACATCACATTGTACTACTTAAATATATCCAATAGTTATCTGCCAATTATCAATAAAAATTAAATTAAAACCAGAAGGACAAAGTTCCTGACATTGTGTGAACTTCATCTAAAAAAAAAAATCACTCAAGATATAAAGAATATTTCTGGGGCATTTTCAAAGAGTTTGAATAAATATCTAGGAGGAAATTTCAGAACCTCTAAAGCTAGAATTGCTTTAATGTCAACGCTTGCTTTTGAATTAGCTTCTGTAGAACCATGTACAATGAAGTTCCAATAGCAAACATTCATTGAAGAAAACTGCCAATCTTTCAGCACTTTTTATTCATCCTCAGTTTCCATTCATTACATAACACCATCCAGATGGATACACAATTTGGGGAACTTTAAGACTGTACATGAATAAGAAAATGTGCCCCCAATAGACAAGTGTGTGTTTTCCTTATTCAGAAATCTGGCCAGCCTGACATACTCTGAGGTGTCAGTAATCACTTCAGTTTCTGTTGCTGTTAGTGCTAATTACTGTACCTGAGCTAGAAAAATAAAAGATTCCATTGTAGCAAAGTTCACAAATATTGTTATAGTCCAGCGATCCAGTATCCAACTAAAGCACTACACATCTCCTCCTCAAACAACCAATTTTGTCTTGTAACTGAGAATGTTTTATAAACAAACAACTGTCACTGAAAGAGCAGTGGAATACTGAAACATCTGCTTAATGAGTGGGAAAAGTTGGGCACCTAGTGTTCTCAGTGCTCAGATACTTGAGGTCACATGGGAAACCACCTCCAGACAGGTGACTGAAATTGTTCGGTTTTCTTCTGAGTGTGTTTGCACTGCACAGAGACATCCAACATACATTTACACATTCCAGGCATGGATCCCATTGGCATGGCTGATGTGCATACAGTAAGACAAAAATCTAAACAAAATCCCTAACGTAGAAATGAATACGTAGTATTCAATTAGTATTTGAAAATAGCCAGAGAGGAATTGCATTTCTTTTACTTCTTGTGGCACCTATATTAAAAACAAGTTCTCGCAAGTGCAAGGACCTGAGTTCAATCCCCCGTACCAAAAAAACAAAAACAAAAAAAAAGAAAAGAAAAACAAGTTACTCTTTTGGAAGGCTGGTTTTATATTCTCAATAGGAATTGTAGTCTGCAGAATGCATAGTGTTTCAGTGTCTATTCCTACATGTACACAATAGAATTTTATCTTCTACAGTCAGCAGTTTGCTTAATGATTTTTTTCTATGTGTGGATACTTGGAGTGTAAACGTTAATTTCTCAAAAGCAGCATTTATTTATATATGTAATTGTTAAAAGAAAAATAAGAAATGGTACCTCTCTTACAGATAGGTACCACACACGTAAGAAAAAATTTTTTAAATCTCTCAGGTCCTATTTTAAAACAATCTAAGTGTTGAGGGGAAAGCGAATTAATTTGAATACAGATGTAGATTACACTACAAAATAATGCCTCATTTAACTATAGAGTCTGCCAAAAAATGTATATACACTTCAGGAAAAGAAAATCAGTAGGATGTTTTTTCAACAGAGGACATTTCCCCGGTACAGGGCCCCCAGTGGATGTTGGATGCCACCGTAAAGCCACTACACTGCCGGCCCTTCAGGAAGAAACAAAATGCGTGTGCAGCAATCTCATTGCCAAGGTCACCCACACAGTGGTTCCGCTGTACTAGGAAAAGTGCGGAAGCTCACGGTTACCACTGTGAGCAGCTCTTGTCATGGTGGAGGCCAAAGTAACATACTCATCTCATGCTGCCTCAATAAATGTAGCAGTGAGATACTTATACAAGTTTTTCTTTGCCTGAAGTGTGTGCACATTATTTGCAGAGTCTGTATGAAAAAGGAGCTCCCAGAATATGTCATTGAAAATGCAAATAATGCACTCACTTCGTCAGCATCTGTACGAAAGATGGAAATGAAAGCTTCCTGCTACGATTTCTGGGTTTCCTTTCTTTTTTTTTTTAGAAGGGGTGCATATTATGCACTATGTATACCCGACTAAATTCTGAGGGATCCTTAAGTGTATATATTTTAAGGGGGGAAAATAAATTATGGTGATTGAGAGGCCATTTAATCATTGCAGAAACAGAAAAACGAACTGATTATTTCATCGTGTACTACATAGAATAGAAAACCACGAGACAAACTCAATAAACAACTGTAAAATAAAGTTCTTGAAACTTGACTGATGCTGAGCCACATCCCCGTTTTTCAACACTGTCTCCTAATGATCTGAAGTGTCACAAATAACCCAGGGTTACAGCGAGATTGTAACCTTCCATGGGAACCACGGGAGCTGGGAGGAAAAGTTAGAGCCGTGGCAGGCGTAGGAAAGTAACTAAACGAAGCAGAAATTATCCGCTTCTCTTTTGTAAATCCCTGGAAAAGTTTAGGGCACCTAGAGGAGGAACAGGAATCCAGGAGCTAGAAAATTGGTGCCATGCAGCATTAAATGTTCTTTAGAGCTGGGAAAATCTCAGCAGAAAATTCAGACCAAACCTTTCTTTTTTTCCCCTCGTTATCTGTACTTCCTCTGAAAAGTATATCGGTCATCTATGAAGTCGCTTCTCTTTCTTTCTGAACTGGACACTTAGGCGAAAAGTACTGATAAAGGACCCTGAACAAAGCCAGTAGAATTGCTATGTTAATATAACGCAATATTCCTCTTACTGCTAATGGTACTTTGTAATTCTCTCAGATTGGTTGGAATACTCCACGGGGACCTAAAGTACGCTGTTCTAACTCAGGATTTAAGACATTGATTACAGATTTCATTTAGTTTATATTTATTTACTCACTTCTAGATTACACTGATACAAATGAACTTGTTGATTAGCAGACTCATTCAGTAAAATCAATGATTTTTATATCCCTTTTGCACTTACTTAATGTGAATTCATTTGGTGCAAACAGAAGTGAATGCACATAGTACAAATAACCTACATCCGTTAATCCATTAACTTGAGTTTGCAGATTTGATTCACTCCTGATTCTATCAGATATGAATTATTATTCAAGATTAAGCCCCTTCTGATGGTGAGCTATAATAAGACTGACTATTCACATATGAAGTTATTTGTTGATATTCTTACACAGAAACCTAGCTTCAAAGATTAAAACAAACATTACTAACTTGTTTTAATCACTACAAGAGTTTTCTTTTTTTTTAAAGGAGATTATTGTCGTTGGGTCAACACAGGTATTTTACTTTCATCAAATGCCCATTTCGAAATATATATATGTGTATATCCATCAGGTTGCATATTTGTATTTTAGACTTCTCTGTACCCTAAATTCTACTACCCAATTTTGTTAAAATAAAATCACAGTATTTCAAACAACTCAATTTCCAAATTGGCATAATATTAGTAGATGTACATAAAAGATGAGACTATAGAATGCAGAAAAGAAAATTTCAACTGTGTCAGAAATTTTATCCTTTCTCCAAATAGTTTGTCTTCAGTACTGCAAACATATTCAGTGGTTTCTATTAACTGAATGCATCCTTGTCAGAGTTGTCTTGTCATAGCTAGACAAAATTAGCTCAAAACAGTAAGAATTATGATTAACACCATCTAGAAAAGAATATAGTAAGGTAGAAAAAATTCCAAATTTGAAGGATACAGACCCCAATTTGCTGGAATGGCCCCAAACCTTTAGGATGTGGTTACAATTTGGATTCTAAGAATCCCAAGGATTAATAGCATTTTATTCTCTGTTTGATCTCAATACCTAGAACGTAGAAATACCAGCATCCAAATGAACAAGAAGAATCAAGTGTGATGTTGCATGTTCGTTAAAAATATACCAATTTATGCTTAGCAATTTAGTGATGACAGTAAAATATGACTGCATTAATCCATTTCAAGTAGGTTATTGCTTAAGGATCATAATCGGTCTGGAGTCTTTTGGAAAGTTTGTGGACTACTTTATAAAGTTACATAAAATTGTGAAAAAATTGCATGCTTTAGAAACTTAGTTTTCCATCAAGCCTGTAGTCTAAAAAGAGTATGAAGACAATAGCAAATGGATGTTTTCAAAGTGGATTCCTGGTATTTACAGTATTTTTTCTTCTCTGGGTGCTGTGCCTTCAAAGCTGGTTATCTGTTTTTCCGGGGGTTTTTTCACCTCACATTCAGAACAAGGGGGCATTTGCAATTTCTGCCAAATAATACAGAAAAGATAATTATAAGAATCCAATAGAACACATTCTGGGGTAAAAATTCAAATCTTAGCAGTAGAATAATGAAAATTCACACATATCAGTCTATACCTCAGAAAACTGACACACACAAATGAAACAGGTAAAGTTGTTAATATACCACTGCATGAAAACATGGAGAAGTAGTTTGTCAAAAATGGCAAATTTTTAAGACAACTTTGAGAAAATTGTAACCAAACCACTCAATTCTGATTTATCTTACATAGAAACAGCTTCAAAGATTAGTTATTGATTGGTTTTAACAAATTTTAACAAAGTTTTAACATTTTTTAAAACTGACAATACTTCCTAGGCATTATTTGTTACACTGGTAAAGTATTATGTGTGAGAATTCAGAATTGGGCTTTTGTGTTTGGTACTGTGGAAATCAAGGGCTTTTTCAACCTCCTCTACTCCCCCATATTCCTTAATTTCCTCTGTGTTATGAGGAGCAAAGGCATGTATTTTTTTTCCCCTCTGATTAGTTTGGTTCTGCTTTGTGAAAGGGAACGGGTAGAGAAGAGAAAGAGCTCACAGAGGTGAACCAAATGCATTATTTGCAGGCACAGGGTCTTGCAATGTAAAAATTCAGAGGCCTGAGGTGAAGGAGCTGCCCTGTACCAGCCAATGGAACGTCCTGCTCCAGAAAGAGTGAGACAGAAATGCATTGATTCAATGCATCCAAGCAAAGCTTTCTGACATTGCACAAATGAAACCGACTACAAAGCACCTGTGGGGCTGGCTCCGATTCGGCAGTGGCATTTCTTGCAGGGCCTTCTTTCTGCTCCATTGAACAGGTCTTTCCTTCCTATAAAAGAAACAATTGAACAGTTTGATTAAGTTAAACAATGAAAAGGGACAGAAAAACTCTTTTGACTTCTTCCCGTGAAGAAGAAACTTCCATCCCTTGCTATGCCACAAATAGGACAAAATCCTCCAGACAGCCTCCCTGGGAAAGACTGAATTTGCTGGTCAACTTTGGGATCTCAGAGCCACTTGTGGCAATCGGCTGTGACAAAAATGTTGAATTCCAGTGAAAACTCTTCCACCATAAAAAATTAAAATGAAGTAAAAGATTAAAAAACTTAATGTATTAATGTTTCAGTGGTGGACTGTGTGCCTACAGCAACATTAATATTACAAAGCAGGGAGAAATTTAAATAGCGTTATCACCAATCTGTCTAGTAAAAGTCTGCAAAACTTTCAAGTGGACAGTCTTGCTATAACTGAGACACTGGGTATTATTATCCATAAAATCTTATTTTACTATTAACTTCTCTGATTGGGCTGCTGGTAAATAAAGTATTCCACTTCGGTTTTATTCAGATTTAAGCTAAGTTCAAATTTTGGTGTTTTCCATCCTTTTTTTCCTCTCTCTCTCTCTCTTTCCTTTTCATTATCTTTATCATAGAACCACTTTTAAAGCATCTACAACCCAACTTAGTATGTGAACCAGCACGTTTACAGGTGGGGTGTGAGGACCTGCGATCCATTCTATATGTAAAACTCAGGTTGAGCGAGGTCTGATCTTGGTCACTGGACAGCTGCGACTTTGAGCTGGTGAGTTTCTTTCCAGGTATTCAGTTCTGCACTGGAGGATGCAGTTAACCTCCAACTCCATCACGACAAAGATTCTGAGTATATGGTAACTACAGTCAGATAGGAAGTTAAGCTTCTGACAGTTCAGATAAGAATGATGTTTCTACTTGCTCACTATTCTCATGTTATATTGCCCTGAAATGAACACACATCACACTGTTAGTTTTCCATCGCTATGTGTATGACACGTGTGTGTATGTCAGAATAGTCATTCCTCAGTGTGATATCTTAACAGTCAGTTAGTTGCTCTTTTTCCATCCCTAACTGGATTCAGCCACTTTGCCTTGTTCTACAGGCGTATAACAACTTTAACTTAATATTGTATTTCTGTGTATAAGCATGGCTGTATCCTCAGTATACTGTAAGACAGTTTAAGAAAAAGATTATATTTTTCATCCCTAAATCACAGTTACTATCGGTTAGGTTTGTAGTGTGATCTACAATCAATAGTAAATGGTGAATATATAATCTCTGAATTAACAATAAATGAATAAAACAATCAGAATCCATACGAAATGCTTCAATCCCTTCGAATATTAATGGATGCCACTCTCCCTGTACTTGACAGAGGTCCTAAAACTTTAATGGAGAATTTCCTTCTGTGAAATAAGCCTACAGCTAATGGAAAAGTGATGTGTAGCTATAATAGCAGGAATCAGTGGTCAAATCCATGACTATTGGTTAATTAGAGTAACCAAGGATTTCATTATGAAGGTGACCCTCCATGAAGAGCTCATTTGTGAGAGCAGGGGAAAGTGAAAGCACACACAGCCTGGTAAAAGTGAGTGCTTTGTAGGTAACGGCGGCAAGGTCCACGAGCTGAACTAATGACAGATTCCTAGCATAGGAAGAAAGAGGTCATGGAACGACCTCCGTGGCAAGTCGCAGTGCCTACACTTAATTCAGTAGTCATTAACAGGAGACTCCTAGAGTCCTAAAATAGCATGACCCCTTTCCTAAGAAAGTTTACAAGTCAAGTTTTTCTCTACGTTGCACCTAAAGGGATCTGTGAACGGAATCGTATGGCGATGATTCCATAGGACGACTTCTTACTGCCGGCATCCTTCTCTGAGGTGTGGACTGTGTGCCGGTCCTATTAGGTTTGTCTCTCACTTGCACTCTCCCTAGGACATGTCAAAGTGCCAACACAGTCCTCCCCTTGATTGCCTGATGAGAAAGTGAGACGTGGCAGCATCTGCCAGAAGACAGGTTTTTATTTTCACATGTTTGGAGTTCAACCTTCTGTTCTATTCCACAGGCCAGTTGCTAAATTAAATTATAAAACTGAAAGAACAATGACATAAAATTTATTTTCTCATTTGACTCATAGCCTCTCCATGTCTGAAAATTATGTTTTGTTTGTCATTCATGTGTGCTTAATTTACCATCACAAGCAAGGTATCTTAGAATTTTATCACTTCAGTGATCATCTAACTCAACCCAAGAGGTAATAAACCTTGAGAGTTTTCTCTTTTTAATCATAAAACAAGACATAAAAGCAAGAAGAAGGCTATTTGCCCTTATAATTGCAACCAAAGTTTCAGTGTCCCAAAAATCAGTGGACTTGATAATTAGGTTGTCTTAGCTTTCAAAAATAAAACTTTGAAATGATAGCAACAGACAATCCCTTTGGGAGTAAGACTTCAATCTAACTCACACAAACACCATTCCGTGTATTAGTCTGTCTCCCTCTTCTCTTTCTCTCAGAGTCCATCATGCTTGTATCTTTATTTCCTTTCTGGACTATAAAATGAAACTCTTCAACTCTCAGTCTCAGCCTCCAGAAATGCCTCCCCCAAACAGATTTGATCCTATAAACTCATTCTTTAAAAGTTAGTCAAATCAAGATGAGTGAGAAAATATCCTCCCCACACTAAGGTCTATATAATCAGCAAAACCTGATTCAAATGAACACAAGAACTGTCATTTGCAACGGTCTCTCCTGAAACTCCCAAACCATGCTGACTGTAATAGCCTAAGCATGGCAGTTCTCCACACTTGACCAGTAAATTTCCAACTGCACATTCACTCAGATTTATGTATGCCCCAATTCGTCGTTATTCATACTGTAAACTCCTACACATCATGTAATGAGCAGTTCAAATTATAAATCTCTGATGATCACAAATTTTGTAGTATGTAAAAGGTTTATGCAACCTTTCTATTTTCCAAACCCCCCTGCCATATCCTTGCAAAGAAAACACTGTTGCACAATGTGAAACCAAGCAAGAATCTGTGTGTTCCCAACATCTTCTGGGTCACATGTAGTTAGTATAAAGCATGGAGTGTTTCCCGCTCAAAAGGAGGAAAAAGGTCCTCAGAGAAGACCAAACATCATCTACATTGAAAAACATTCTGAATTGGGTTCCCTAGAAGATCATATTTGAATGAATACTCACTTGCAAGATTGGGATATTTTTATGATTAGTGTAAAATAAGGTCTTCCAAGAAGAGAAAGAAAAAAAATGAGAAAACAAGGAAAAAATGGAAGCAAAGTCTTTGTAAGTCGGGAGGGTGGAGAGGTTGAAGGAAAGCAAGGGGAATGGGGATAAATAAGAACCAAGATACATCAAGTACAGGTACAGATTCCCAGGGATGAATGTGGTCATAATAGATACTCAAGGAATAAAACAATAAGACTATCCAGAATTTTCATTGTGGAGATAATAAAGAAATGAAGAAGTTGGAGTCTATCTTGTCAAATAAGTGAAATGTCATCTAAGAGCATGACCAGCAGACTCGTCTTGATAAAAACATTTAAAAACCTCACAAGAAAAATGACTGGAAATTAAAATAATAAATCCTTCTCTTGTGGCTCTTAATGCAGATACACAAACGCTGAGCTTTTGTCACACAGGTGTGTCCTTTACCTCATTCTTCAATATTACTTGAAGTATTTATTGATGTTTAATTTCCATTAAACCCTCTAGGTACAACTTGAAATGAAACTTTTATCTCTTAGAAAGAGACAAGTATGACTTCATATGAAAGACGTTCTAAGTGAATACAATAAGATTGTGGTTAAACTCATGGGATAAAACATCTATGTTTAACTAATGATCAGATTTTTAAATTTAACACGACAAGTTATGTGGCTTTGGATAACAGTTATTTTTCCTCAAATTTAATTTTTTAAAAATGAGAAACAGTTTTATCCATAAATGTTTACTGATTTTGAGGTCAGTTTGGCTAGTTGGTTCTGGTTTTAAATACTAACACATACAATGTCAACATCTAGAAATTGTTTTCCGCCTTCTTTCCACCTTTTAGAAAAGTAAATTCATTAAATCAAATACATAAAAAGTGGTAGAGGCTGGGGATTTAGCTCAGTGGTTCTAGCACCTGCCTCACAGCACAAGGACCTGAGTTCAATCCTCAGTACCAAAAAGAGAGAGATAGAGAGAAAAAGATGGAGAATAAAGAGCTATTATCGATTTGCTGTGTGTGGTGGTGCATTTCCAGCATGAGGTAGGCTGAGGAAGAAGGACTAAAAGTTTGAGGCTAGCCTCGATCATGTAACAAGACTTCGAGTTACAAAAAGAAGAAGGTGGAGCTATTATCAAATATCTAAAGCACTATCTTGAAAGAAGAAGGATGGTTGCAGAAAGGCTGTCTTTGCAGAACATGCCAAAGGTGAGAGAGATGTCAGATCTGGAAAAATGGAAATGATCCCAGAACATCTGTCTCAAAGTGCAGAACAGCTCCAAATAAAAATGTGTATATCATGCAAAAGTGGCAATCATTTCAGTCAACTTTCAGGAAATGCATGGATTTAGCCATCTCTCAGACCGTGGCTGAGTCCATAAAATTTTATGGAATAAAATAGGTCTGATTATTTAGTTTCCAAGTTTCAAAAGTAAAATGTATTTTTGTGACCTTGATGATAAAGCTTTATTTTCAAAAAAGCTGTAAGAGGAACTATTTCATTTTTTAATCATTAAGGAAACTTTCATGCTCTTTGTGTATCTTAAGAGAGCCCAGCTTGACAATGAAATGAAAAAGAGATAATAAAATTCATCAAAGATAAGATTTAGATGTAACAATTAACAGAGTGGAATTCAGAAAATAGTGGGGATTTAGCTCAGCGGTTCTGTGGCCAGCCTTGCAAGCACAAGGGCCCGAGTTCAATCCCCGGTACAAAAAAAAAGAATTCAGATAATTGAGTTTTACCCATTTAAATGTGAACACAATTCTAAAGGATTCTCGATA